TACGACTACGAAGTCAACTTACACAACTACGAAGTTGTATCTCGAGTGGAATCTCGACTAAGCTACGAATCTTACGACTACGAAGTCGATTTAAACAACTACGAAGTTGTATCTCAAGTGGAATCTCGACTAAGCTACGAAGCTTACGACTACGAAGTCGATTTAAACAACTACGAAGTTGTATCTCGAGGGGAATCTCGACTAAGCTACGAAGCTTATGACTACGAAGTCGACTTAAACAACTACGAAGTTGTATCTCGAGTGGAATATCGACTAAGCTACGAAGCTTACGACTACGAAGTCGATTTACACAACTACGAAGTTGTATCTCGAGTGGAATCTCGACTAAGCTACGAAGCTTACGACTACGAAGTCGACTTACACAACTACGAAGTTGTATCTTGAGTGGAATCTCGAAGCTTACGACTACGAAGTTGATTTAAACAACTACGAAGTTGTATCTCGAGTGGAATCTCGACTAAGCTATGAAGTTTACGACTACGAAGTTGATTTAAACAACTACGAAGTTGTATCTCGAGTGGAATCTCGACTAAGCTACGAAACTTACGACTACGAAGTTGACTTAAACAACTACGAAGTTGTGTCTCGAGTGGAATCTCGACTAAGCTACGAAGCTTACGACTACGAAGTCGACTTACACAACTACGAAGTTGTATCTCGAGTGGAATCTCGACTAAGCTACGAAGCTTACGACTACGAAGTCGATATAAACAACTACAAAGTTGTATCTTGAGTGGAATCTCGACTAAGCTATGAAGCTTACGACTATGAAGTCGATTTAAACAACTACGAAGTTGTATCTCGAGTGGAATCTCGACTAAGCTACGAAGCTTACGACTATGAAGTCGACTTAAACAACTACGAAGTTGTATCTCGAGTGGAATCTCGACTAAGATACGAAGCTTACGACCACGAAGTTGATTTAAACAACTACGAATTTGTATCTCGAGTGGAATCTCGACTAAAACCCATCGAGCGAAGATGGTCGTATGTGTCGACCACCCCTTCGAGGGTGGGCATGCGTTCGAGAAAAAACCCATCAAGCGAAGATGGTCATATGTGTCGACCACCCCTCCGAGGGTGGACAAGCGTTCGAATCTAGATAATCGATTGTTATCATATTTTTTTGTGCTCGATGTATTTCTATTCAAACCTCGGAAGTGGGTCGAGTATATTCATTACTGCTCGAGTAGGTTGATGTTGATTGTTGCTTGATTTTGTTGAAATTGTTCTTCGACCTTGGTGGAAGGTCGAGTATATCCATTATTTCTTGAGCAGGTCGATGATTTGAATTTGAACTTGATTTTGTCAAAATTGTATTTCGACCTTCGGTGGAAGGTCGAGTATATTCATTATTGCTTGAGCAGGTCGATGATTTGAATTTGAATTTGATTTTGTTGAAATTGTTCTTCGACCTTGGTGGAAGGTCGAGTATATTCATTATTGCTTGAGCAGGTCGATGATTTGAATTTGAACTTGATTTTGTCGAAATTGTATTTCGACCTCGGTGGAAGGTCGAGTATATTCATTATTGCCTAAAGAGGTTGATGATTTGTATTTGAATTTAATTTTGTCGATTAAATTTCGACCTCGGTGGAAGGTCGAGTATGTTCATTATTGCCCGAGTATGTTCACTTGATTATTCATTACTGCTGGAGCAGGTTGTTGTTGATTCTGGTTTGTCGAATTAATTTTTCAACCTCAGTGGTAGGTCGAGAATATTCCTTACTGCTTGAGCAGGTTGATTTCTTTTCACTTGGTGATGTATTATCGAATTTATTTTTCGACCTCAGTGGCAGGTTGAGTGTATTTATTATTGCTCAAGCAAGTTGACGTTTTTATTTGACTTCGTTTTGTCAAATGCGATTTTTCGACGTGAGAGAAGAGTCAGGACTTTCAGTCTTCGAGAGGATACACAACAGGCTTGAATTTCAAATCTTGAACTAGGGGGCGACAGGATGAGGTAACCGGAAATGTTTATTATGAATTGACAAA